GGACCCAAGTGGCACTGCTGGGGAGCCTTTAGTAAGGGAGGTAACAATGGGCATCTCCTTTCCTTCAGCATCTCCTGCCCTGCCTTGTGCTCCCAAGCTTCAGGACCCCTGGCAGCCTCCTGGTGAGGCCAGAGCTGGGGCAGTCTGCAGTGTCTAACTCTGGAGGTTAGAGCAGAGTAGGTGAAGAGGAAAGCAGTTGGTAACTGATCAGATGGCTAACTGGATTTGCTCCAGTACCTCTAAAACATTACCCAGTGTTCCCTTCCTCCAAATTTTAGGAGATTAAAATTCTACATAAGCAATAGTGGTAAATGCCAATAAAATCTGGATAATTAGTTAATATGACCAATCTACAAGATAGTGAGTCTAGAAGAACAGATTTTACTTACTGGGAGATATTAGAATTCTGAATGACTCATAAGATCCTTCCATGTAATCGCCCCATTATTCTACCATTCCATCTGGACCAAAAGGCAAAGCTGAATACATGCAAAGAAAATRTTCTTGTTCTTGTGGTTAGATATTAGGAAATATTTCTCTCTAGCCATTTAGAAACAACCTTACCAATGTAGAAAAAGAATGGAAAGGAACACATCACCCTCAATTTGCAGTTGTGCTACTGTGGTAGATTTACAAGTGTTTTTTTTTTCCTTTTTCTATTTTTCATATTTTTCAAAATTTATAATCATATACATTTTATTACTTTGAAAAAGAAACCTAATAGATCCTTCTCTAGAGAATTAGTACAATGCCATCCCCTTATAGATTCTCCACATACAAATTTATAATATATTCTGTTTTCTGATTACAAGTGTAAATGCATAATCTTTATAAAATATACCAGCATTTCAAAAAGATATAAAGGAAAAGCCTATGAAAACATTACGCAAGTATATTTTCTAAAATACCATTTGATCCACAATATCATTATTTTGGTAATGCAATGAGCTGATCTTGGTAAAATGGGATATGATAAGACTGGTTATCTATCATCCATGTACTTTCTCCCCTGAAATTACTTGGAAATACAAAGACATTTTAAAAATTATCAAAGTCTTATTATTATTATTATTTGTTTTTGCTTTATCAAAACTGCATTTACAGTGTTACTTCACCTTTTAATGTCTAACAATTAAGGAAGAAACCAGAGGCTTTCCTCTGATCTTATTATTTTTTTAACCAAGAAATTCTTATCTCTAAAAATAAAATATCTTGAGTGTAGCCATCCTTGTTATTTTTATTGTGGCTTTTTTCCCCCACACATTTTCCTTATTTCTTTATAAACTTCCTGAGAAAAGGGTTGGTCAAATCTTAGTYATTTTCATATTCCCCAGGGCATCTTACATGCTGCCCAGCCCATAGAAGTAATTCAGTAAATAATGTTCACTTGAGCAATTTGAAGGAAAAAAAAGGACTCTAAAAGTGTAAGCTTGTTTATCACAAAAGAAGAAGCAAAAGGAAGAGGCAGACACCTTTTGACTTTGAGAAAGCAGACTTCAAAATTCCTGAAAATTGTGGGAGAAAGTATGAAAATCACATAAATGGCTTTAAAACAGAAGGCACATTTAACATGGTACCAGGCACTGAATGAGTCTTTAATAAATGTTCATGAATGAAGGAGTGAATGAATAAAGACATTTATAAAGAGAGCTCAAAGTAACGGTTCCACCCACGTCTCGTGCAGGTGATAGAATTGGCTGGCTGCRGAATAAAAGCTAATAAAGAGAAAACAGTGAAAAAAAAAAAACCCACAGTGCACAGGAAATAATTATGAAAAGCAAGGGTAGGAGGCTCTTTGATCTTTGGGACTGAGCTTCCACAGTGGAAAGAGAGAGAGCTGAAGCCCGCGCTTGCTTATTTATATGGGGAAACATCAAAGGTTTTCTGTGGAATGTTCTTTGCCAAATAAGGTATCCTATCAGATGGGCTGTCCAGTTCCCAGCGGGTTATGCCCAACTCTGGAGCTCTGAGAGCTATCCTGCTACTAGAGTCATGTGGTGGTGGGGGGGAAGGGGCAGTGCAGAGATCTCATACCTTGGGCAGTTTGATGCACACTGGAAAGCTAGGATTGTTCCCAAGGAAGAACATTGGCTTGTGCCTAGTAAAGGCCCCTCAAGTAGTTTCACAGGTGGCTTCCCACAGAATGGTGAGTCTTAAAAGCTAGAAATGTCAGCAGTGATTCTGATGACACAGGCAGATAGTATCCGCAGAAATCCACAGGCTTATACTTTCAGCCCTCCACTAGCAACCCCTACTATCCCCAGATGGACCTCTGCTTTCAGATGTAGAAGGGCCATCACATCCTCAGAACATATTATTCTTTTTTTATGATTCAAGAATKTATTAACTCACAGATGCAAAACACAATGCTAATTGCATTAGCAAAAGATCAGTGTGAAAACACTCTATAATTCTGCAGCTATCAGTTTGAAAGATTTTGTTCTAGTGGTTGAGAGGTCCAACAATGTGATCTTGCCAGTGAGTTAAGTCATACAGAACATTGTTAGCACTAACACCGTTTACAGAACCTCACAGACCCAAAGGAACATCATCAGGCAAAGCCACGACAGGAAGTTTGTGTGTGTTGTGAGCATGAGCTAAACAGGGTCAGTATCAGTCACCTGTCAGTGCTGGTAACCTKGCAAGACAGTGATGTTAAGAAGATGCATAGTTGAAGAGTATCCAAAATATTTTACAACTGTCAAGCTGCAGCACATGATTTTTACAYCTACTACTAGAAAATTAAAGAAAGCACTTGTTAACTTTGAATAAAGTAATATAAAACTGGTATGTACATTCTCTAAACTACAAAAAAAAATTCTAATGCATTATCAGGAAGATTTATAGTAGAAGTAGGAGGTATATTGCTTATTAAGAAGGGATCTTGGACATATATTCTGACTTATATGGTCTTGGTTATAATTTTCTCAATACTTTATTTTTTAAACTACTTAATTAGGTAACTAATTTGTGTTACTGGAGATTGAACCACTGAGCTACATTTTATTTTGAGAGAGGTTTCATTAAGCTGCCCATGCTGGCCTTGATCCTCCTGCCTCAACCTCCCAAGAAGCTGGAGTTACAGGTGTGCACCACCATGCCCTGCTTTTCCATACCTTTTAACCACCTGCTGACCTGAAAGTCTTCACTAGTTCATTGCTCCTTGAAGACAGTTACTGTGTCATGACTTAGTATCACCAGCATGTAGCAGATGGCATAGAACAGGACTACACAGGCAATGAATGTGCATTCATGGTGAGTGAATTAGTAAATGGCTAAGCATTTAAAGAACAAAAGAAAATCTAGAACATAAACTGATGCAGGCATAAAAATATGAAATAATACCTAAAAATATAAACTTTCATGTGTGTTGGAGTTTATGAATATAGACTTTTTCAGCTTTGTTTAAGCATTTTTAACTATTCATAAGTATTTTTTATTTTTAACTGACACAACAATTTTATCTATGCATTTGTTGTGATGTGATATTTGGATCCATGTATGTAATGTGTAATGGTCAAATCATTGTAATTAGCATTTCTTTTTTTAAATTGAGTTTATTTTTATAAATACACGACAGTGGAATGTATTACAATTCTTATTACACATATAGAGCTAAGTTTTTCATATCTTTGTATAAAGTATGTTCATGCCAATTCATGTCTTTATACATGTACTTGTTTCTTTTTGCATTACAATTCTTATTACACGTAT